ATCTTATCAATCTCCATACATAGGTTCCATATATAGGCAACATCCTTTAACGTGGTTGCCAATTTTCTAACTAACGAAGTGTCTCATGTCACAATACTGGCAAACTGATGACATCACTAGTGTCAAATACAGTGGCGTTGAATGCAGGCTGAAGTATGAATCTTGGAGAAACTGATTATCTCCGGACAGAATTTCATAAAATTATGTATAAAGTATATACAGTAAGCACAAATGTTCTTGGACCATCTATGCCTCATCTTATATGTGTGTGTATGTATATATGACTACATAGACATATATGTATATACATACATACTGTGGCAGGGTATTTGCAGTGCCTGCCACTTCAGTGTCTAGCTGACAGTGGAGCAGTCAGCAGGTGGATGCTAGCCTCATCAAGGCTAGCAGATGACCCTAGGAGGACCCTGGAATTGGCTGAGGGGGCAGAGTAGCTTCCATTTTAACCCAGGCCCTCGGAGAGAGAAGGAGCAGTCTGTGCTGAGCAGGCCAGGGGGAAACATCAGGCTGTGCTGCTCCTGGAACATCTTGGAGGTAAGGGCAGAAGCAGTGGGGATGGTTTGGAGGCTCCTGGTCCTGGGCATGACCTAAAACTGCCCCCCGCCAGGGGTGGGTGGTCTGGTGGGACTGTTCATGGTGAAACAGCCCCCCAGAAATGCTAGGCCAGTTACCACCCCAGTGAAAGGTGAGGAAGGGTGCCTGAAAACCCCAGCCCCTGCCTATGGGTGGGTTACTGACAAGGAAAGAGACCTGGGCCAGGCAAGCCCAGAAGGGGACACCGGAGCCCAGTGTATTGGGGCCAGCCAGGCACAGCGGCAGCCACCTGAGCCTACAGGGTGAGAGACCCCAGTGTTAGGGGCTGAGCATGGCAGCAGCCACCTGAGCTTACAGGGTGGAAGACCCCAGTGCAGGGGGCCAGGAACAGCAGCAGCCACCTGAACCCCACTGGGTGAAAGAACCCAGTGGCCCAGTGAGGGGCTGGGAGAGTAAAGTGGCCCAGTGAGGGGCGGAGCAAGAGTAGAGGCCCAGTGAGGGGTTGAGTGGGTAGTGGCCCAGTTGAGGGTGATAAAGAAGAGTGGCCCTAGTTAGGGGCAAAACCACTGACTTAAGGAAACAGATATATCGGATAGGATAATATGGAAATACTGGATGTGACAGAAGTATTGAAATTGACGTTATGGAAATACTGGATATGACATAGCAACAGCTGTGAGGCATGGGACACATGTAAGGCAGGGGTTAAAGCATGTACTTAGGCCCTTGTTATAAAGAGGTCAAATAATGGGCAGCCTCCCGCCTTAGAAACAACATTCGTATTATTTTCATCAAGGCATGGCAGGAAAGTGAGGCAGGGATTTAGACCAGAACAGGCGACCATTTGGCACTGAGACCCGGCCCTGAAAGGCGAGCCTGTTGCACATACATACATACTTATGTGTGTGTGTGTATGTATGAATATATATAATGGTTACATGGAGTCAATTCTTAATTATGTGAACTTGGACTTTTCAACTACAGGCATGTGCCAACTCATTATTTGTGAGGCAGTAAAACTCAGTGGCATTAACGCTTCACTTGGCCTTGCCAAAACTAAGCTTTTTAGTTCCTTCATTGTCATACTACTCTTGCCCCCACCCATTATCATTCTTTTTCATTTTTTTATCTATTACCAACCATGCTGCCTTTGGATGGAATAGTGTCACTGCTGATAGGATGTCATACTACA